CTCCGATCGCCTTGCTAATTAACCCCTTTTGATTTTATGGAAAGCACCACAAAAACCGGATCCCCAATGAAATGTATTTTTAGTGGTAATAAAATATCGAAATCTTTTGTAATGTATTTTTAGTAGTCATAAAATTCTTTCATTTTTTTATTTAGTATCCAAAATAAAAATCATAATTTATTATTCAAATTCATATCAAATTATATAATAAAAATAAACATTTTACAAAAAATAACAAAAACAACAATTTAATACATCTCATTTATCCCCAATCTATCTGGTTTCGATCGTATTCTTTTGGGATATCGATCTTGACTTGTATCTTCTTCCTCCCTCTCCTTTAGATTCATTTCATCGTTATTTTTTATTACATCCTCTTTGTTTACTATTTCTTCGGTTTTCTCTTCTACTTCAGTTCTCTCTTCTAATTCGTATTCTTCAATTAATATATTTTCGGTTCTTTTCCTTAATTAGTCTGTATGACGTATAATCGTATTACCAGCTATACTTACTTCATAACGTTGTGATCCGAGTATGCCTTTAATAATGGCTTCTTCCCATTTTTTTTCTTTATTATTGTTAAGCGACCAAATTTTTTCATACATCTGGAATTTTTGATTGTGGTATTCTAGCTTCTCCTTTTTGTTCCCCGTTCGAATATTTGATCTAACAATCCTCTAGGTTTAAATTTTAGTAATATTTCAGCGGGACTTTGTTTAGTTTCTGTCCCTGGTGTATTTGTGTAATTGTAGAGAAAAATAGCTAGACTGGTTTCTAAATCCCTCTCGTTTCTTTTATTCATACTCTGTTTAAAAGTTCGAACTAAGTGTTCGGCCATGCCGTTTGTCTGAGGATGGTAAGGACTTCCGTGCACTAAATGAATCCCGTTTTATTCACAAAAATCATTGAAATCTTTGCTGCTGAATTGGGGTCCGTTATCAGAAACGATTATCTTGGGAAATCCGAATCTTGCAAAAATATTTCTTAATATTTTTATCGTGCTTTCGGTTGTAGTGCTAGTCATGGGAACTATTTCTGGCCAGCGACTGCTAGCATCTATCACTACCTACCAATAATGATTTTGAAATGGTCCAGCATAATCAATATGTACTCGGAGCCATGCTTTTGGTTTTGGCCAATTTTGAATTGCTGTCTTTTGAGGCATATCGTATTGTTCCTGGCATTCTCTACATTTTTCGACCCAGGTTTCTATATCATGGTTTATATTAGGCCACCATGCGTATTGTCTTGCTCTCATCTTCATTTTTACCATTCCAATATGTCCTTGACGTATCATGTCTAACACGTTTTTTCGGTATTGTGTAATATTATCATTTTAGTTCTCCATAATAAACAACCTCTCTCTATTATAATTTCCTCTCTCCTTTGGCTATACTTCTTTAAACATGCATCATAGTTTATTGGCTATCCATCTATTGTATATCTGTATACTTAAGAAAGTATATCATCTCGCATTGTTCCTCTTTCAATTTCGCTTGCATTTAAAGGTGTTTCTCCCACCTGTATTTGATCTAGCGTTTCTTCTTTTGATATTGGAGTTCCCTTTATAGGTAATCTAGATAGCATGTCAGCATTTGCTATTTGCCTACTACTTTTGACTTCTATTTCATATTGGTAACCTGCTAATAATAAAGCCCATCTTTGTATTCTGGCAGTAGATGTTGTTGCTATATCTTTTCTTGGATGAAATAAACTCATTAATGGCTTAGGGTCTGTTTGTAATGTGAACTTTTTTCCATATATAAATTCTTTGAATTTCGTAACCCCAAATATGATGGCAAGAGCTTCTCTTTCTATTTGGCTATAATTTTTTTTCAGCTGCATTTAGCGTTCTTGAGGCGAATTCAATTGGTCTCTCCTTGCCCCCTTCTATATGTGATATAACTGCCACAATTCCTATGGCTGATGAATCTGTTACTAATATAATGGGTAATTTTGGATTATAATTATGTAATATTGGAGTACTACTTATATCTTGCTTTATTTTTTTATACGCGTCTTTGCATTTATTAGTCCATCTCCAAACAACTGCTTTTTCTAATAATTTGTATAATGGTTTGGATTTGGCTGCAAAATTTGAAATAAATTTTTAATAGTATGTTGCTGACCCTAGAAATGACTGTAATTGTTTCAAATTTGTTGGTTCTGGTGCTTTTTTTACTGCCTCAGTATTTCTTTCGGTAGTTGTAATTCCGTTTTTTGAAATATTGTATCCTAGGTATTCGACATTTTGTTTGAAAAATTTACATTTTTCTATTTTTAGCTTGATTCCATTTTCATCTAGACATTTTAGTACCTTTTTTTAATTTGTTTCGTGTTTCTCTCTATTTTTCCCGGTTATTATAATATCCAAGCTACTCCTTCAAAACTTTTAATAAATTCTCGATGGCTCGTTGAAATATTGCTGGAGAAGACGATATACCAAAAGATAGTTTTGTATATTTAAATAATCCTCTATGAGTATTGATTACAAGATATTTTTGAGACTCTACCCCCACTTTAATTTGAAAATAGGCATCTGAGAGATCCAATATTGAAAATTTCTCTCCTTTTCCCAAATTGGCTAATAAATCTTGGATTCTTGGTAATCAATATTAATATTTTGATTTATAGTTCTTTTAAAATCCCCGCAAATTCTTAATGTTTTATCTTTCTTTTGAACAATTATTATGGGTGATGTATAAAGTGAATGATTAATTTTCTCTATTACTCTTATTTTTTGCAATCTATCTAAATCTTCAACTTTATCTTTTAATGTGTATGGTACGGGACGTGATTTACAGAAAATTGGTTTCTCGTTTTTCATATATATTTGTGCCTTAAAATTTTTCAAGCAGCCTTATTCTTTGGTAAATAAATGAGGAAATTCATTTTGTATTAATATTATTTATTTGTATGGTCCCTTCAGGTAATTCAGTCATTTTGGGAAATTTAGTTATCCAATTTCTTCCAATTAGATTTTTGGTAAATCCTTTTGTAATTATGAGAGGTAGTTCTAATGTTCGCCCTTTATATTGTACTTTTACTACAGTCTGACCTAATAGTAGTATATTAGTTACTGTATAGCTTTTAAGTTTTAGCATGCAATTTGTTAATTCAAGACGATTAAGTTTATTTTTCCAATCTATTTCGTTAATTATGCTTATCCCAGCTCCAGTATCTAATTCCATTCTGATATCGCTGTTGTTTATTTTGACATCCATCCAAAATTCTGGATTATATTCGTTTGTTTTATTATTAATAAAATTCACTATTTCTTTTCAACATGAAAAGACAATTTTCTCTTCTGTGGTTTCCGCCGCAGGAGTAGCATGGATTTGATTTTTGTAGCTCGCATTATAATAATTATATGATTTTGATAGTGTATCATTATTAAATTTTTTAATTTTATTTATATTATCATTATGTTCCTCTTCTAAATGATTGATTTTAGTTTCATCATTTTGTAATAATTTTGTATTTTTATTGCTGTTTCTACTGCAGTAGCTATCTGAATAGCTTTATTTATGTCTATATCGTCTTCGGATAGTAATCTTTGTAAAATTTTTGAATTTTTTATTCCGAATATAAATTTATCTCTTAATGCAGTATTTAAATATTCCCCAAAATCACAAGTCGTTGCTAATTTTCGTAGATTTTGTATATAGTCTATTAGTTTTTCATCATTTTGTTAATTATATTGATAAAAATTATATCTCTCTACTATTATATTAGGTTTGGGATGAAAATGTTTGATTAAAATATTATGTATTTCGAATACCTCTTTGTTTCCCGGAATATCAGGTGCACATAAATTTACCAGTATTTTGTAAGTATCACACCCTATTGTTGTTAATCAGAGATTTTTCATGTGATAATGTTAAACTTGGTTGTGTGTTTTAAATTCTTGAAATAAGTTGTACCAATCTTTGTAACACAGGTTTGAATCCGTTAGACTTTTTATAGACTGCGCCATTTTTGTAATGTATTTTTAGTAGTAATAAAATATCAAATCTTTTGTAATGTATTTTTAGTAGTCATAGAATTCTTTCATTTTTTTATTTATTATCCAAAATAAAAATCATAATTTATTATTCAAATTCACATCAAATTATATAATAATAAAAATAAACATTTTACAAAAAATAACAAAAACAACAATTTAATACATATCACCCAAGACCACACTCCCGAAAATCCAAGTATTTCTATCGTCATCGACCCCTCCCCTACCTCATCGTGCGTGGTGCCATCTTATTCAGCTCCGAACTCTTCAGATATAAAGGGAAATAAAATAAATTTATGTAATCTTTATTCATATTAAAGGTTATGGTACTTTAAAAAAGAAATGGAGTTACTCATTTAAAAAGTTGTAAGGGTAAGGGCGTCACTATTTTTTTTAGAGTAATGTGGCATGTAACGCAGGTACTTTTTAAATAACGATGAAAGCTCTAATATTTATTATATTTTAAACAATCTAACCCATATCTATATATTAAAGCTAATAGGCAATCCTGGCCTTGTATATAGTTTCGATGAAATTAAATAAAACATTTATATTAATTACAAAACTATACTTTAGGTCAAAGAACTTACATTACTTAAATATTATAGAATACAGAATAAATAATTTTCACTTTTTGACTATAAATTTTATGTTTTAAATTTTTTAAAGAATTTATTTAAAATACCTTAAATAAAATGAGCCGAATAGTCTTTCAAATTGTCGTGATACAATATTATAATTTTTAAAATAACTAAATGGCATTAAAGCCTAAGTCTGTGCCCTGCCCTATTTTGGTTTGTTTTAAGTGTGTACATCAAATAAATATTATTTGCTATATATATTTTTTTTTATACAAATAAAAAAAAAGTTATTAATTATATAAATCTAAATATCCTCTTTCTTTTTAGGCTGTTTAAAGGAAGCTCCGTTTAGAAATAAGACAAACCAAAATACGGCCTAACCACTTTTAAAAATAATAATAAAAATATCTAACTCTATTAAGTATAATTTCAGTCCGTTTGGAAAAGTATTGATCGGATGCCGATTCAAATCGATCTCGGATTTCACTTGTTAAGCTGGATTGATTAATAAGCGAAGTATTTCGACGCCACAAGTCAAAATTCAGTCTAGTCCTGGCCCTTCTACGAAGAAATGACCATAATCTATAGGGGAAAATGTTTAATTAAGATAAGAATATAATATATTACACAGATATTCACCTATACATATAAGTATCTGCTAATATTCTATTTGTCAATACCATAGGCCGAAGCCAAATTATTTAAATTACTATAGGTTATTTGAACTTTTTGATGCAATTTTAAATTGAATTAGTGCAAATGTTAAACTTAATTTATACTTTATTTGAGTAAATATAACTAATGTTTACTCAAATAAAGGAATAATTGTCAAAAAAAAATATATAAATTTAATATTTTTATATTTTATCGTAAAAATTGTTAGTTTTTTCTTATCTGTTTTTTAGACCATTATTTGATTCTTTTTATATGCTTTAAGAAATAAAAATATATCAAATGAGCAAAAATATGAGATTTTCGGGGACCCCCTTTAATTTTTTTAAAATTTTGTATATAAAGAAATGTTATAAGAAATATACAAATTTTAGCTTAGCCTCCCAACATTTATGTCTTCGGAGATCTCGAAATGACAAAAATGACGTATACAATATTCTGCCTTCATTCAATTAAACATATCTTAACTCCTTAATTGTAACTAACAAATTTAATATCAAAAATACGTACGGATTATACTTTCAAAAAAAAAAAATTTTTTTATTATTTTTCCGCTTTTATGGCCATTTTATTAATATATAAGAAAATTTTTGGAAATAATACTACCTTCAATTTTTATAAAAAATTTAGTAGACATTAGTAAACGTCTAGCTTTTATATTTATAAAAAAAAATCGGTCTGGGATGCGGCCAGCTTCATTCTCAAATTGATAAAAATGATTAGAAAATAGTATAAACGAAAATAATAATCAATGGAGGTTTCAATCAATAAAACAAATTCAGCCATTCCATGTCAAATCGATAATGATTAGACCGGCTTCTTTTAAAATTGTTTAAAATTGCTGGAATTATTTAAATCGATAACAAAATGAGAAAGCCGTTTATTTTAGTTAGCTAGTACGTACACATAGATCAGATACAGGGCCTTTGTGCAAAAAATGGCGATTTTCGCAACTGTAAAATCTTCAAATTGCTTATATCTCAAAAACATTTTAAGGCATGAATTCTATTAAAATGAATATTAATGAAAGAGAATATATAGTTCAAGCAGATTTTGCTAAAAATAATGTATTTATGTTCAAGATGAAGTACTAAGTTTTACTGGAATAAAGTGCAAGTTACCATTCATCCTTTTGTAATTTATTATAAGACACTTAATAATTTTAAATCATTTAAGTTACGTACCTCTTATTACTTAAAAACTAGGGTAAAGCAATACGGAAGTAAACACTCAAATTAGGGCCAATTATTTTCTCTTTCGATAGAGCTTTAAAAATTTTTTTTACCTAAATATGATATATTAAATTATAAAATAGTTTTTGAGATATAAGCATTTTAAGATTCAAAAGTCGCTATTTTTCGCACATTTGATGTCCTGCATATCGGAACCAAGTGCGCTAGCGAGTTAAATTAAACGGCCTTCTGATTTTCTATCTAAATATTTCTATAAATTTTTAACAATTTTAAAAGGGGTCGGCCCAATAGTGATCGATATGATATGTAATATTCTATGGTAACCATGTTCCACTCCACTATTATTGAAAGGCAAATGTCATATTCCTTTGTACAATCCCTTTCACTTTTTTCCTGCCAACTTATGAGTCAGAACGTTATATCCAAGTCCTACCGGAAATGTTACACATAGAAAATCGTAAGAAGAGAATCTGGGTAATCTTTCTCTTAATATTTCTTACTTCTCTACATCCTAATAATGCTGAAAGAAAAAATAAAACCTATTGTAAAGCCACCGCCTCCGTACTTCTAGGGCTGTATTCGTGGATCCTCCTTCTCTGTACTCTTCCGCATAATTATTTATTTGTGCTAGTGTCTCGTGGCGAAATGTTCCTACCTGCTCCAAAGAAAACTCATGTCTTAATAATTCGTACTCACTGCCTAACAGCCCTCTTAAAAGTTCGGACCACCCATCTTCTTGCTCCTCTAGAACAGGTGAAGTAACAATAGTATGTTCAAAGTTATAATCAGTTATTGAGGTTTGGGGATCATTAAAATCGTAAATATCCACGGAACTAGATAACGTTATTGGTATTTGTATATGATGTGAAGTAGAGGAAGAAGGGGTTTGATAAGGTGTGTGATTATTTGATGCGAATATAGTATCAAAATCAATAAGGAGAGGGGTATTTTGGTTAAGGGAAGACGAGTTAATAATTTCTTCAAGTGAATCGATATCGTTTACAGCAAATTTATCATCGTTTGATATAGGTTTGTTAGGTATTCCAGTATTTCGTTTTAGATAATTTGTAAATCCATCGAAATTAATTTCAATATCAGTATTTACAATGTCATTCGCATTGCCAATAAAACTATGGTCACCAATGACCCGATCATTCTCTAAGATAATATTATCGTTTATAGAAAGAATTTTATTCCTATTATCATTCGTAGAATCACTGATGCAACTTAACTTATCATATGCACCTTTTCTAGGGCCTAGATCTTTCGCCAAAGGATTAAAGCCATGCAAATCTACATGCCCTTTTTTTGAGCATTCATCATCATCAGCCTTATCAGAATGTAAAGTTTTTGTTGATGAAATGTGAAATTCGAAATTATTAAAAACCAATCGGTTCCAAGCATTTGACCTTGCAAAGTATAAGGGGTCTGTGTCCCGAATATCAGGCAATATTCTAACTAGGGCAGACAGGGTGCTAGAATATATGGGAATATTTTTATTAGAATTAGAACATTTAGAGATAAATCACAATATTTGAAGATTATTAAAATTAGTATAAAAATTGCTTAATCACCTTCTCCTTACTATTTATCAGAGACCTGCAGACCCAGCCCAGGTATCTATCTGTAAAATGGCATGATTTATCTGGGCTGATTTATAAGAAATTTTAGGACTTTGTCAATATTAGTCAGATTGGATATCAGGGTCGATATTTATCGTATTAAAAAGCGGATCGGTCAAATATATTTAAAAAAAACCATATATCAATGTTGTGGTTCATTTTATTATTATATATATTAATTATTTTTCTTAATATATAAAGGGCGTTTCAATATCACTTTTTGGTAGTTTTGTTAAACGGCTCATTTGTGCCGACTTATAAAAACGGCTTACTCAATATTTTAGCCAGAAGTGCCAAAGCCTCAGGATTTCGATATATGTTTGGACCTTTGTTCTTTCTATGAGCAAAATCTTCAGGCTTGGGTAATATTTTTCTGGATGAAGTATTGAGTTAGCCGTTTTTAAAAATCGCCTAAAACGAGCCGTTTAACAACACTACTTTTTGGAGGCCGATCCGATATTAAATTGAGAGAGGATTGTAGATCTGATACCACATCTGATTGTATTTTATTTAATTATTTAATGCGCATACTCTACTTTTTAGCAGAGTTGTTAATCGCTACTTTTAAAAGTAGCGCGCTCTTAGCTACTATTTTTTAAATGTAGCTTTAGCTACTTTTTATAAAAAATTATAAATATTAAAATATAGTTAGTTATGATTATAAAAAAATTTATGTAATAAAAATAAATATTTATGGTAATTTGTTAACTATCTGCCGTGGTACATATATATGATATCTCTGATAACTCCACTATTAGAGCATCTTTCATTACTTTAAAGTTATCTGCTAATTTATTCATTAGTGTATGGCGACATAAAATTGTTGTACCAGGGGGGATGGATCAGCTACGCAAACAGGAAATTTTTTATAAATCTGTGTTATCATAAATCAGATTTTGGTATAGCAGCTGAATGGCATTTTTCAGCTACATACCATGGAAAAGGTCCATGTGAGGGCCTTGGCATAACATTAAAAAGATTAGCAGCACGTTCAAGCCTTCAGCGCATCAGTTCTGGACACATTTTAACGCCAGTTGATTTATATCGATTTGCAAAACAAAACATGCCATCAGTAAATTTTACATATATAACCAATGAACAATACAATTTACGAGAAAGATTCAATTTAGCTCGTCCCATTCCAGGAACTCGGGAAATACATGCTGTATTTCCTTTGAGTTTAAGTAAACTTAAATCAAAAATATATTCATATGCAGAGGACTTTTAAATTAACAATATCTCAAATGCCGAAAATTTGTCATTTTCAATTTGACTTTTGCAGATATTAAAGGATTCGTAACATGTGTTTATGACGATTTTTGGTGGTTAGCAATTACTGAAGAGATATATATTTCCTTTTTACATCGCCATAGACCATCGCCATCTTTCTTTTACCCCACAATTGCGGAAAAAATATGGTTACCCATTAATGAAATAATAACAATAGTAGATCCTATTACAGTGATAGGACATATATACAAAATTATCAAGAAATTCTATTAATAAGCTCAAAATGGGATAAGATTAAAACAAGAGGTATTTATTTTTATATTGTTTGTGTATAAAATTTTAAAATATGTTTATTTTACAATATAGCGTCCTAATAAAATCATATCTGTAGGGGCTGCCTGCTTACATATCGCCCCAGGACATCATTCTTGGTTATACTCAATTGATTTTTTAATTTTAATCACAATACTATTCATATTTTTACTAAAAATTATATATTATAAAAAAAATTTAATATAACGCCATCTATATTGCATTTTTCTATTTATAAAAATAATAAAAATTCAAATAAAATTTAAAAACAAAAATGGCTATCGAGATTTTTTATTAAATCGTTTAATATAAAGGTAAAAAACATTTTTAGTGAATATCAACACCCAAAAAAATCCCTTCCTAACAATGTTAATTTTTTATTTATGGGAAATAAGAAAACACTTGAAATTTTTTAATTTTTTTTTTATATTTTCCAACGTAAAATTTTAAGGGCTTTAAAATGGTATTTTGAACTCTATCTTAAGTATTTTTTAAAATAGCAAGATTTAATGAAATCACGCACTTCGTTTTCCACTTTGAAAGTGTATATCTTTGGATCTGGTTGAGCTAGTACTCTAAAATTTTGATTTTATTAACATTTACAACATAAATAACTAACTTACAGTGTTGTTAAAATAGCGCGCTACTTTTTCCAGTAGCGGTAGCTAGAGCGCGCTACTTTTTTTAAAAAAGAGCGATAAAGGTAGCTCGCTACTAATTTAGAAAGTAGCGAAGTAGCGCTTTCAATTTTACATAATAAATACATCTAAAAATTATTAAAATATATTTTTTATAAAATCTAAAATTATAATCCTTTTATTTAATTTAATTTTGAATTAAATTTATATTTAAAAATATATATTATTGTTATATATTAGATATAAACAGTTGTTAAATAGCAATCTGTATTTAATTTATATTTCGCGCATTCATTAAATTATATATTTTTGAAATTCCGTTATTGGTATGTCCTTGCTTTTATCTTATTTTATATTTCATTTTACATTTTATATTAAGCATTATAAATCTTGTTATGTGTGAGATTGTTGAAGATATTGAAATTTCTTTGGAAAATGAGCAAAATATAGATGATCCTTTCCCAAAATTCAAGAAATACTTTAACCTTGAAGAAAAAATTAATACTGGATATCGGTTTCGGTGCAAGATGTGCCGCAAAATTATCTCTTCAAATCATACGAGCAGCTTCAATTTGAAAAAACATTTAAAGGTAATATATTAAACAAATTTAATATCAATGTGTAGGCGAATCTTTAATTTTTAAAATAAATTAAAATCAAAAATCAATCATTTTTTTTATATATTCATAAATTTTATCTAAATTTAAAACTTTTTAAAATAGTTATTTCAATCATTTTTATGTACTTATCTCCTACATAATTTTCATTCTAAGTGTTTTATAATTTTACACTGTGCACACTTCAAATTATAAAGAGATTGAAAAATATCTCAAAAGTTTTGAGGTAATGGAAGAAGATAAACCCACTTCCAAATCAAATTTAATACAAACAAAATTAACCAATTCGGATTCATCAACACCTGGTGTATCCCAAAAATTGGCTGACAAAGTCATTATGAACTTTATAAAAGATACAGTTCAACCATTATCCTTGGTGGATAATGATTCTTTTATAAAGATGATAAACACTTTTTCTCCACGGACCAAGATATTTTGTCGGCAGACATTGATGGCAAGAATTTTGGAGAGTTTTAAGGAAATGAAAGAATCTTTTATATTAAATCTATCAGATGTCTCCTACGTCTGTACAACGGCAGATTGCTGGACTCACAATAGAAGGTAAAAATGTTTACTTTCTGATTTATAATATATAATATTTTTAGAGCTTATTTAGGAGTAACTGCACATTGGATTGATCCTAAAAATCTTAAACGAAAATCTGTAGCGTTAGCTCTAAAGAGAATAATTGGCTGTGACTTATGACATTCTAGCCAATATTATTGCAGAATCCATAGGTCTTACAAAATTCAAAACAAGGTTTGTAAGATGATTATGGATAATGGGTCTAATTTCCTGATAGCCTTCAGGTTTTAAATTTATTATAATTTTTTTATAATATGATATAAATAATATAGAATATTTGGGGAAGATAATAATAATAACAATACTAGTAATATTCCTGATAAAAATATTGAAGATGGAGAACAAGAAGAGGATGATGAAATGGAGTTTGAGATAATTGATGTTCATGACATCCTTGGTTTTAAATTATTTTATATTTAATTTTTCACCAATATAAAATAAAATTTATAATATTTAGGATATTCAATAAAGTCTTCTATGTTACCTAGCCGTCATCGTTGTTCCTGTCACAACCTAAATTTAGTTGCAACAGTGGATGCTGAAGAAGCATTATTAAATGAGGATTTTAAAAGAGTATCAAGATCTACAATTTCTAAATGCCAAGCTCTTTGGAATAAACAAAATAAGTCATCAAAGACGTCTGATATTTTCAAAAAAAATAGGACGTTATTTATTGACACCAAACACTACAAGATGGAATAGTGTTTACAATGCTATGAAACTTTTAGCATTGTTTCTAGATGAGAAAAAAATGGAAATGAATTATATATTGGATCAAATGGGAATACAGTATTTTAATGTGGAGGAGCATACTTTTATTAAAGAATATACTGAAGTATTTTTAATTAATAAATAATATTATATTATATTTAACCATTTTAATTTTTTAGGTTATGCAATATGTTGCTGCCTCACTTAAAATCTTAGAAGGGCAAGATAATATGAGCATGGGATATTATGTGCCCACACTGAGTATATTAATTACCAAGCTCAAAAGAATCAATAATCTAAAATTCTGCCAACCACTGGTAGAGTCTATGCTAAAAGGCATTGAGAAAAGGTCAAAACTTTATTTTTATTTACTATTATACAATTATATAAAATGAATGATTTATTGCTTGATTAGCCATAATTTAAATTGGCTTAATTTACAACACAATCTATAATATTAATATATAGTAATTATTAATTAATATAAAATTCAAAATTAATATATTATTAAATACCTTGTGTATAATAATTATATTTTTTAAATTTTTATTTACCATAATTTATTGCTATTTTAATATTTTTTTTATAAATGAATCTAAATCTCAGATAAATTTAAATTTTAAAAATTAAAATGGTATTCTTCTTTTTTTATAATAAATACAATCGCTTTATATAAATTAGATTTCCAGATCTGTATGATGATGATAATGTAATAGCTATCGTTCATCCTAGTTTCAAGTTAAATTGGCCATACATTAATTTGACTGAATCTAAAGGGCAACTTGATAGGCTGATGGTAACGTTAAAAAATGGCATGCCTAACCACGATACTATAGCAAGATCGAAACCGCAGCCTTCCATAGAAGATTTTTTTGAAATAAATAATAATAATAATAATATTATTGAACCTGCTTTTTTTAAATCTAAAAAAACAAATTTAAATATTTTTGATGATTTTTTTCATATAAAAAGTTTGTTTATTAAATTTAATACTGCGTTGCCCTCAAGTGCTAGTGCTGAACGATTATTTAGTATGGCAAAGCTTATACTTTCTGATCGTTGCTCTAGACTTGGGGATGACAGTACCGAAATGTTATTATTATTAAAGTGCAATAATAAATAAATTATATATATATATATGTAACAAATTATAGTCATGTTTTTATATCAATATTTTATTTGTGGAAATAAAGTTACGTAAAAAAAAAATATTTAAAAAAAAATCAAAGTGGTGTAAAAAGTAGCTGCTGCTACTCATTTGAAAACGATAGCGGTAGCGATAGCGCGACACTTTTTTTATAAAATAGCAGTAGCGATAGCGCGCTACTTTTAAAAGTAGCATTTAACAACACTGCTAACATACCAAGTTTCATTCATTTTTGAGATAGTCGGCCAAATCGCTGGTCGATTTGTTATGGAATTACCCATCTAGAGCATTTGTAAAATTCTATTTATATCGTTTTTAGATTTTATGTATCTTATCTAGAACCATTTTATGGTATATCTGTATCTATATCAAGATCTAAAAGTATCATTTAACAACTCTGGTCATAATGCACCAAATATTGCCTTGGCCAAGTAAAATGAAAAATTTACAGTAAAAAATTAATAAATCTAAATATCAGTTATCAGATGAGCTTTACATGAATATCTTTAAATATTATATAGGATTAGTGAAAATTTGTTGTCATAGACTTAAATAGAATTTATATCAAATTAAATAGTTGATAAATTAGATGATGGATCATTTAGCACTCATTTCTCACATTTTTAACTCTCTGTGATGTCAATAAACTATAAATTTAACCCTAAGTGAGGCTAGGTTATAAAATTTAATCCACACAGGTCCAAAACTTTAAAAAATGGATGGGACAAAAATAACCTTTAAGGTTTTTTTAAAAAATCTGTCAGGTCTAAAAGCTTGGTGTATGTTTCTATAATTTGTAATCCCATGTTAGTAAAAAAATAATATATAAAAAATTATTATTTTAAAAAAAATTCTACATTACTTATCAATTTTGACCCAAGATTTAATCAAACTGAATCTTTGTTGACCTTTTGATTTGATTCCCAGATATGGAGATCTATGAAATTCCTGATTATCTCTTTCGTTTCCAATTCTTTCTTCACTAAATCCAATTATTTGTGCAGTTGTTCCTACTTGAGCCAATATATTTTTAAGATCTGAATGACCAAACATATTTACAGTATATTCTTGCCTATAATATTAAAATTTTTTAATTAAAATAAAATATAAGTGCAATAATTATTTAGAAATCAATATTGTATAAAAAAAATTTTAATTAAATTGAATAAATTATAATGTAAAAAATGACAAACAAAATGAAATTTAATAATATACTTTATAGGTATAAAAGCAAAAACCCTATCTCCTTCAATACATGCTTTGATTTGGTTTATTAAGCTAGTTACTTTTAATCTCAATGGTAATATTTGTTCAGGAAATAATATAATTCCTGGTATACAGACTAATGGAAGTGTTATTATAGCACCCTCTTCGTATAATGTACAACCTTGAGTTTCATCTAAATCTCCCAATACCTAATAATATGTTACATTAAATAATTCCTAATTAAGAACCCTCTTAAAAACGTCATCATCTGCTTCCAGATCTGTAATTATATCCATTAAAAGAACCTTAATTTAATTAGAATTATGAAAAATTATTCGAACGCTAAGTTATAGGCATTTGTTATTATAAGGTATGACGATTATTACTCAATTTTCATTGGTCGATTATAGTAATATATTTATTCAGATTTTTTTGAAGGTTCAATATCTTATTTCATTACAATTACATTTCACAAAGTAAAATTAAATATTTTCTTTCAGATGGCAGAAAGGTGTGGGTCTATATTTGCCAATTCTCGAGGTTTACATTAAGCAGTCACTGGTTTGTCCCTAATCAGAGCGTTATGACACATTATTTGTTTGGATTTTTGTAACAAAATTTATTTAACTACTTACAAAATATTTTAGTTCTTTGAATTTTATATGCTACCATATATTATATTTATTATATAAATTAAATATTATTCAAAATGGTTGGTAAGAATTTATATAGGACTTCAGACGCATAGCTAATGGGGATAGCCCCCCCCCGCCCCATCGCAAAGAGCTAATAAACACCCCCCACCCCCCGTCAAAATATTGCTAATATTTGACTAATTTTCTAACATAATATATTTTAAAAATAAATTTATTAAAGTTTCCTTTCCTTCTGAGTATATTAACATTATTCAATAATATGAATAAAATAGAAAAATTTATAATTAAAGAGATAGCAATAAAACTGTAATTTATTTTATCATTATGATTAATTATAGTTATATTTATTATGATTATTTTATCAAATTCAAAATTATTAGAGAGTCATAAATTAATAAGTATTTTTTATAATATTGTAATTATTTAATACTACTTCCGAATCTCGGCTAAATGGGTTAGCTCTGTTAAATATCCACTGAGATTTATTTACAACAACAAGCGAAATTCTTGATGAATTGGCCAATTTTTCAAGAAAATTAAAAGTCACATTTTAATTATAGTATTTAGTAAATTTTTTGTATAATATTTTATTTGATAAGAAGTTAATAAAAAACTTGCTTTTTTAAATTATTTTCTAGAATTTGTTTTTAAAATTATTCTCTAGTCAATATTTAATAAATACTTTCAATAAAAAAATTATTCTACTTAGATAATAGGAGAATTTATGCTGAGGCTAAGGGTTAGCCCCCCCCCCATAGGAAATCCTGGATACGCCCCTGAAGAGTTTTAAAGTATAACCATAAAATATATATATACATAATTAACATATTCTTATTTAATCTCATTTTATATATAACTATAAAGAATTTCGTGATTTATTATACAACTCAGCTTATATCTCTATAATTAGAAACAACTTATAAATACATAGCATAAATATCGTATTTTTGATATATGCTTAGAAATTATATTAAATCCAAAATTAGTTTAGAAAAAGTATGCAATCAACCAAAATATGTTGAAGAATTGATCCATACAACAACATACTGAGGCAATATTGCTGAAAAAAAGGAAATGTTAAATTTTAAATGAGAAATTATAATATTTTGTCAAACAATAGATTAATAAATATTTTGCAATATATGAGACCAAATAAATTGCAAAATAAATATGGAAAAATTAATATTTAAATAAATATATAAATAAATTTTTATATAAAATTTTTGATTCCACATAATCAAAACTATGTTCAGAAATATACTAATGGCACTATTTTACTTGGTGTAAAGTAATACCGTCACTAGGGGGGAGAGCGCAGGGGCTCAAGCCCCCTTAACATTTTTAAGAGCCCCCTCTAAATCTTTAAAAAATTTCTACCACTAAAAAAATAAATTAGTTTGGATAAGGTTAGCTAAAAATAAAAAAAGATAATTTTGGATAATAGCTAAAAAAAATAAGTTTGAAAATTTTTTTTAGAAAAATTAGTTTTAAAAAATTTTTGATCCCCCTGAGATTGTAAATGCTAGCGAAGCCCCTGGTCTCAGGCCGGACGATAGGATACCTGGCATTGATACTTGTATAAAATATGGAAAGGCATATACAATACAACAATTATATTTTACTAAATATCATTTTTTAAATATATAATTATCTATCAATTTCCATTGCTAAATAGATATTAATAAAATCTAGTAATACAAAAAATTATGAGTTTAATATTTTCATTTTTGGATTGGATTAATTTTTTTTGAAAAATTTCAAGATTGATTTATATTTCTTTGATTTTTTGATCACTTAATAACAAGGCGGTAAAAATTTTAATAAAAAGTAATAAAGTGAATTTAGCTAACCCCATTTCTTAATCACTATATTTTATAGTTGAATAAAACGTTTAAAGTTAAAAGGAATAAATGTTGCGAGCTTTTCTAATAAGTATCAAAAATCATGTAAAACTACCATAATAGATTAATTAAAATCCTGATACTACTTTATTTATTTCAATATCACCCGAGACAATGAAAGAATTTTAAACGTAAAAAATTTTTTAAAAAAAATTAAGTAAATAAAGTTAATAGATCTCATGAATCGAGATTGGTGATCCAATCCCCTTTGTATGATGGTAGTCTACTGGAACAAAGACAAGTACCTGATTCTTAAGCTGGATTACTTTATTTAAATTAAAAAATTACCTAATTTAGTGTTAACTTATATAATTAAAATTTTCTAATAACAAAATGAATACTTTTAATATCCTTAAATAAAACTGAACATTTTATTTGGGTGGCAAATATTTAGAGATTAACTGGATTATAAATTTTGAAAATAACTTAGTTGGTTCGGGAGCCAGATCTTACAAAAATACTATCTTTTATAGGAATAAATATAATAAATTCAGCAATATTATTATTTTATTTTCTGGAGATGACTTACTGAATAAATCCTGGCTATGCCACTTACTTCAAGGATTTAAAGTAAAAATGAAGTAAATTTTATTATTATTAACCAAAATCCATAATAAAAAATTTGATGGAATCTTGGTAATCCGTTTATTTTCTATTCTATTTTTCCGATGTCTTCACTATGTCCTCACCTCTGATCCTCACTACGTAATGTCTTAGCTAGGTCATGCCCACGGTATTTCATGTCTTCGTGACGTAGTTTTTGACATAATGAGAACATTTTTATTTTTATATAATCATCTGTCTTATTAAAAATATATTAATCATTTTTAAAATGAATAGGGTTTGATCATTTTTATACGTAATTACATTAGCAAGATAATTATAAAATTCATCATACATCATGTTACAACTTTAATACAGGCGCGTAAGCAGTGGAAGGGGGGGGGGTAAGAGGCCAAATCCCCCCCCCCCACCCTAAAGCTAAAAAATGAAGATTCCGGATATATTTTCAAAAATATTATTGTTTATATAATTTATATTTTTTAATATTTATCATCTCTTTCTTTTAAAATATATATTTAATTACATTTATTTATCATATTCATTTACTAAGTTATTTTATCAATTAATTTCGATTTAAGTTTTCCTTGGCATAATAATTATCTATTATATTCTAATTTCTAGTGACTTAATTGTTGTAACTGTTGAAAAAAAGAAGAAATAAATTTAATAGAATACATCAAATGTCAGTTATTTTCTGACAGGGGAAATAAGTTTTCCTTGTTGGAAGAAGAGGATATAAGGATCACGGGGTGTGTTTTATTGTTCGGAAAAACCCGTAGTTGGAGATTGGGAGATATTGGATTAGATGTCAGCTGTGGACCTTTGGATGTCAGCTGTGGACCTTTGAGAAATGAAGAATTGGATAATTATATTATATTATATTTTTCTACATATTTTATGTTAGATTGTTGTGGTTTTATTGGAAATAAAGATAATTATGTTAAATATGGATCGTCGTTAATGGTCAATGGTATTTATTTAATATTATTAGAAAGAATTATTTTGGGTTGTTAAGTTATATAATTGAGAGTAAAGGGCATTTTTATTATATTTAAGGTAACTTGTAATATTGTTACCGTCGACAGGATCGGATCTATCTAGGGATTAATGTGAAATCACAACGCAAGTACTAAAAAAAAAGAAAATTATAGTGAGATTAAGGATTGAGTTTAAAAATTTCTATACTTTTATATTTAACTTTAAAAGGTGTAAGATGATAGAAAGTATGTAATGAGTATTAGGCAGAAATATGGAAATAAGATCAGGAATTTAAGACAGTAATATTTGGTATATTATCTTATGTCTAGATGTATATGGTACATCTAATTTTGATCATTATTTGGTATGCCTTAAAACTCATTGAATGGTGTTATAGGTATTCCGTCATAGGAAGCTGAAAGACCTCATGAACAGCAGGACAGAAAGGATTGTTAAATATTTAAATATGTGAAATTTATGAAAATATATATGGATATAGACTTTTGTAATAAAGTGTGTATTATTTAATTATGCATTTTGGGTTTGTAAAGGGATGAATATGTATGGGATAATTTATTATTAATTAATGTTAATATATTGCATAGGTAACATATGATATATTTAACTATGAATTATTATTTATAATGTTAATATATTGTATAGGTAACATATGATATATTTAATTATGAATGAGAATTTGAAGGAATTGAAGTATGATGAAGTCAGAATAATATCTATAATGTTAGATGTGGATAGTTATTTTGATTTAGTGTCTGCATTTAGTGTATATATAAATTGGATAGGAATTTATATGATACATTAGATGGTGTATAATATTTTTTTTTCTTCAAATTATGAAATCTTTATATTTAATATATATATTTTTTTTTAAATTATAAATTTTTATAAGAAGTTTTATTTGCAATTATTATATTATTTGTGTGGTATGCAATGATGTGAAGGGAAAATATTTTTACAGATAAGGTCAGCCCGTGTTGAGGGGTATGCCTTGAGGTGAAAATATTGTTTAGTTTGCATACTGGGAAAGTTTTTTTTTTGTAAATTTATGCTGCATAATACATTTTTTTTTATCTTTTTAATAATTTTATAACACATCACATTTTACTATTTAATTATGAACATATTTTTAAAGAAAAGACTCAAATTATTTTATATTGTGAAGGTATATTAAAAATTCTTTACATATATACCATATAGCCCATTATATTATCAATTTTTGTTACTTTGCATTCTACATTTTTGT